AAGAATGTAAGTGTTCGCATGTCATGTACACAAATTGCAGCACTAAACCAATGAAAAAAGCACATACATGAACTTTTTCTAAGTGATGACTAATACTTTGGGTACCAAAACATCCCTTTAATGCCCTCTGGGTCAGGTTCAAAACCCAAACTTTGATAGAACTCCGCAACTGCAATGACAAAGTAAGAAAACAGAGTGTGACAATGAGTATAATTTTTTTAAATACAAGTTGAATATGCTAAAGCAGGCAACACCCAAAGCCGGACTTGTCTTAGGAAGGAACACCGATATAGAGAAAGGTTGGTGGCAAAATATTTATGTTGCCATGCTGATAATTACTTAAGAAACAGACTACCAAACCCATATGCATGCACATGAAATGCACATAGACTAAATGCTATAAACAACTGCTGTTTTACCTTGACTATCCGCAAACAGTGAAATATTTCTGATGTCCCTCTGCAGAAGAGCCCTTATAAGCTTTTCAACAAGGGCCTTTCCGAGGCCTTGGCCTTGAATGATAAAGATATCATTAGAAACAATCAAGAAACCATCTCCTGTAATTAGTGTGTAGGTCCAACAAACAATCTTCAAGCACCATCATACCTGATAACCAGGATCAACAAGGACATCCCAAATTGTAGCATTGAAGGCATGATCCGATGTAGCTCGAGCCATGCCAATTAACTTCTTTGGGTCATTCCCCTCTGTCAAATAACTTCTCCAAGTACACTAGTGTTCATCAAGTAGTTTTAGATGTAGTAACAAGCATGGATATTAGATTGTAAAACCAGTTGTGTGAAAAAGAAGGATACTGCAACAATGCTGTATCCACTATGTACCTGATCCAGGTGATTTCCAAAGTGAATGCAACGTGGCTACCATGTAGCTATTTTTCAAAGCTGCAGCTAGTTTCGACAGCGGCCTCCGAGGCCAGCCTACCTATTAAATTTACATTAAAGTTATTTAACTTTAGCCAGTGGGTATAAGATAACATTATCAAAATTCACTACTTCATGTACAGCAAAATAATAACATATCAAACTTTACTGAAAGGTCAATCAGGTAAGATACATCCGCAATAAGTGGACTCCTGACTTATGAAGAGTGACTTAGACACAATTGCGAATTCAAAAGGCATTAACTTTTCGATGCATGTGCAATAGAAGTAGCAATGGCAGTATATTTACCTTATCACTTGAAGATCATACACATCAATATCTCCACCAGAAGAAAATAATATTTCTTCAACTGTTCCATCTGGTTCAGTCTTTTCAATGAGAACAAATTCTTTAGGCAAAGGTTCTTATTCCTCTTCTGGAAGCATGGAGGGGGGTTCTACTACTTGTGTTGTGTTGTTTAAAATACTGCAATAAGAAGCGAGTTAAGGGCCATACTTTCTTGTCTGTATGTGCCACTTAATTCATTCCACATGAAATCTCTGCCGGAAGAGAAGAAAACAAAATACAAAACATTAGAAAACAACTAAAAGGATAATCAGGGAAAAAAACCTCCAGAAAAGTGGAATCACAGATCAATTTTTGAGAGGCCAGACTCACAATATTAGAAGGTGAGATAGTTGGCCAAGCTCAGGTGCTAAACTTCCTGAGAGATTCATGTTCTGCAGTTGGCTGCAACAATCATAATTCAGAAAAAAAACATTACCCCTCACTGTGCAGGTATTGTAATCTGGAATGGAAAAGGTAAGAGCAGTATGAAAAAAGAATGCATACAGTTCCTCAAGGTGCAAGTACCCATCAGCCCCAACAGTATTATTAAAACAAAAAACTCCAGTCCAATTAGATTTACAAGGATCCCCATTGTTCCAGTTCTTGAGATGCTTCCGAGGATCACTTAAACTGCTCTTAACTGCTCTCAATGCATTGACTACAAAAGGGCACAAAACATAATTCATACTTCTCAATTGAATCATATAAGAATCATATGGAAATGACTGAATTTCATTGAATTAAAGCTGGATATAACAAGTAAGAAATATAGCATATGTGCAGCAAACTCACCTTCAGAAGGATGTGTAACTTGTGCAACCGCAAGGAGGACGAAGCAAGAACACAACAGAGCAATGACACATCCACATACTCTCATTCTCAGCATTCTAACACCCTACTGAAACGACCCAATGAGCAATTTCTATAAAACTTGCAAACACTAAATTCAAAATCTTGACTTTCTTTGTCATAAGAAGTAAAACTAGAACATGCAACAAAACACAAAATAAAGATAAAAGGAAACAGTTAGAAAGTTTTCTCTCAATTTTCAAAAGCAAAATCATACTTGACACTATAAGTGGTGGACTTTGAGACTCACACAGTTCCAAACACAAACATCAAGGCCGAGTCAATGGGAAGGCTAAGAATGGTGAAGTCTGTGCACAGAGAAAGAAGGCCTGAGATACATCATTTTCGTCATCTTGAGCATCAACATAAGTTGTAACATTAATTAGATCGTCATAGTTTGTTGAGTAGGGTTGGTCTTTGTTTTCTTTTGTTTAATGTTTTTTTTATTTTTTATTTTTTATTTTTTAAATTTAAGTGGAAAGAGATGAGAATAATGACATATGGCGTCTTCTTTGCATCAGCACCTATTACCTAAAGTCCACTAAAACATTCCTTTGCACGGATTTCCACGAACCTCTCTTTTATGGTGCGTTTGGATGAAGGAAATAAACTTCGGATTTTGACAAAACTCAGAATTTCTAAATTGACATAAACCAATTCCGGTGTTTGGATAAAAAAACATAGAAATTTAGAAATTCCGCGTGGTAAAAAACATGAAATTTGGAGATTATAAATCCCAAGTTTAAATTCTATCTAAAAGTCGTCATTTCTAAAATCCCAAGAGAGATTGAGTTTGAAAAAAAGATAACTTTACAAATAAAGGTTAAATTCCGTGTTTTAAATCAGTCACCTAAACAAGAAACTTTACAAATTCTAGAACATTAATTTCCGTCATTTATGAAATCCTTTGTACATTTAAATTTTCTCATCCAAACGCACTGTTAGGGATGACAAAAATTCCCCGAGGGTGGGTCCCCATCGGGTCCCTGACCCTAATAGGGAAACATTTCGGGGCCAAACGGGTATCGAGAACAGGGATCCCTGAACTTGAAAAATCCCTTACAGGTATAGAGAGGGGATGATATTGGCGTCCCCATCCCTGAACCCGACTCGAAAATATATATATGTTTATATTTAAATAAATATATAATTATAATATTTATGTTTAACCCTAAGTTAACTTTCCTCTCCTAATTTTTCCTAATCTTATTTGGAGTTTCATATTGATGTGATTTTGAATAGTTGAGTTGAACTTTATAGTTAATTTGGATGTGTTAAATGATAATTTAATATGAAACTTAATGTTAAAATGTATGATAAATATTTTTTATGCAAAAAAATTGGGGAATTAGGGCGGATATGAGAAATAGTCCCACGATGAGAACAGGGATGAGGATTCCCCGAAACCTATTAAACGGGGATGAGTTCGGGGACTAGGGTGGGGATGGAGAGCGGGGACGGGGATGATATTGTCATACCCGGCCCCTACCCGACCCGTTGCCATCCCAACTCTCTTTTAGTGCTCTATTGGTGGACCACAAATCCAACATATCTTCGTTTCAGTAATTTAGTTTTGGAGAGAGAATTTCATGCAAGGTTGTTATCTTCACCAATAGCATAATGATATGCGGGATAATTTTTTCATCTGTCATTATATCATTGGTCAGGAATAGTATGCTATATTCCTATTACAAGAAAGTTTTTATGCTAGTTGGGACTGTATAAAGTATTTTTGTCAAGTAAGCTTTTAGCATTTTCATAAGCAATCAATCATAAATCACATTTATGTTAAGTACGTGAACATACTTGGTTAGTGGTTAGTGGTCATAAATCACATTTATTTTTGTTTCAATGATTTAGTTTTGGAGAGAGAATTTCATGCAAGGTTGTTATCCCCACCAATAGCATAATGATATGCGGGATAATTTTTTCATCTGTCGTTATACCATTTGTCGGGAATAATATGCTATATTCCTGTTACAAGAATGTTTTTATGCTAGTTGGGACCATATAAAGAATTTTTGTCAAGTAAGCTTTTAGCATTTTCATAAGCAATGAATCTTAAGTCACATTTATGTTAAGTAAGTGAACATACTTGGTTAGTGGTTAGTGGTCATAAATCACATTTATTTTTGTTTCAGTGATTTAGTTTTGGAGAGAGAGTTTCATGCAAGGTTGTTATCCCCACCAATAGCATAATGACATGCGGGATACTTTTTTCATCTGTCATTATATCATTGGTCGGAAATAGTATGCTATATTCCTGTTACAAGAAAGTTTTTATGCTAGTTGGGACTGTATAAAGAATTTTTGTCAAGTAAGCTTTTAGCATTTTCATAAGCAATCAATCATAAATCACATTTATGTTTAGTGGTCATAAACATTGAAAACCATATTGGTTTTGGGTTGAGTTAAGTTGATATCGTACTCGTGTCTGAGATTACCTTGTTTAGAACTTCTATTTAACTGGATTTCTAATATCAACTGTAGCTACTAAATCATTATTTCACAAAGGATTTTAATCCATAAAAAAATTATATCAGCAAAAGGATTCGAGTTCATTGGCAAGACTTGCCAAAGTACGAATGCAAGTACAAATTTGCTGCTTTTATTAGAGGGCATAAATTGTCTACATCAAATTCCATTATAACATTCATCCTATCAGTATTTCCAGTTTAATATTAGACCAATTGCTCTGGAGACTTGCAATTATTGCTTACAAGTTTCCACAAGTTCCAGTCATGTTGATATGAATGAAATACATCTCTACTTGACAAGGACTCACTAAATCACGAAGAGGCAGCCGCCCTCCAAAAATATCTTGAAAACCTGGCATTGTCTTTTCCTAAAGTATGACAAAACTGGTATTGTAATGTCAGTCATGTTGATATGAAGACTCCAAATTGTGCATTAATACATATGACAACCATCTGAACCGTGCATTATACTTATAGATAGGTCTTGGACCACATCGGGAATATGACCTATATATAGAAATTTGAAGTTTAAATCTGACATCTCTCTAAATCACATATGCATCACCTATTTTCCTTGCATCTGTTTCTATAATTTTGTGAAAATGCAATCATGAATATTGAATTTCTTTAGAAACTGACTTGACATTCTGAAACTGGCCATCCAGGCATCCAATTACCTTAGATTAAAAGAGCAAACCAATCACACCTTATTTACTTTCAACGTAACTTTAGAATTCTGAAGCAACTATTCTTCCAGACAGACTCTGCTTAAAAGTAAACCCTACACTTCCAGACATACTTTCCCTGTAACAGGTCTCTCAAGAATGTAAGTGTTCTCATGTCATGTACACAAATTGCAGCGCTAAACCAATGATAAAAGCACATACATACGTGAACTTTTTCTAAGTGATGACTAATACTTTGGGTACCAAAACATCCCTAGGCGGCCCATTTTTCGAAAACTTGAACGTGTTTTGTTTTTCATTTCTTTTTTTCCGGCTTGATAACTCAGTCTTTGGTAAATTTGAAAGTATCACTTTATCTTCTAATCTTAAGGGTACACTTAATGCAACCCCTCCTACTCCTTCTCCCGCTCCATCTCCAGAGCCAACAATTTCTCCATATCCTGCTTCTCCAGTTCACTCTCCAGCACCCTCACCTGACACAGTAATCATCTCCCACCAGCACCATCCAAGGTACCTCCACATCCTCGTCCATGTCCATACTGCGGTTCTGGAATTCCTCCAAGCTCCTCACCAACTTCTCATCCTAACCCTACTGTTCCTCCTACTTATGCACCTAATGGTTCCCCTTACTCGCCTTCTACGAGTCCCTCATCTCAATTGTCCCCCCTTGTGTTACCTGCACCTGTAGTGTCCAATGCTCCCAGTCCAGGAAACAAGGGAAGTGCACAAGACTTGATTTCTCTATCACCTTCCCCATCCTTGTCATGTAAGTTACAAGCAGTAAGATTTACCCTTTTTTTTTCTCCTGTTTTTCAGTTGGCATGTATGTTTGGTGACTTAATGCATTATGTTGTTTGTTTTTTTTTATGGTTTTGGCAGTGTTAGTTATTCATATAGAATGCAGGCTCAGAGTCAGAGTTTATAAGAAATTATGATTCTTTCCTACAATAGAAACTCGGGTAATGACCTAATAGTAATGAATATTACTCTAAATTACTCATAGTAAAATCAGGAGGAAAAAAACAAGCGTACAGCCGAGCACCCTTAGGAGTACAGCCGGGCGGCTATACTTTTTATTTTTTTTTAAAAAATATAAGAGCCGCCTAGACCGCCTAGGTGGCCAATTTTCTGTTCAAGTCTGGATATTTGGATATGGTTGTGTAGGCTAAAATTAGAAGGAATGGCTCCAATTCTAAGATGATTACATTAACTAGGTCTCTTTTCTTTCACTGAATTCTTAATTATTTATGAGTTTTTTGTCAAATGTTTTTTGTGTTTAGAACTGCAAGTTTTGATATGGAAATGGGTTTTCTGTGCAAGCTTGAATTTGTAGATTTGGTTGTGTTGGCCCCTGTAAATTTGGATGAGTTGGTTGTGTTGGCTCTCTGTAAATTTGGTTGAATTGGTTTAAATTAGAGAACTCGTTATAAAAATCTCAAGACTCTCAATTTTTGATGGAGCATCTCTTGTGATGATGATGATGATAAAGGTTATATTGTATGAGGGATGTGGTTTAGTCTCATAAATCATAAAGGGGAATATTCTTTTTGCTGCTCTTTTCTGTACTAATACTTGTACCTGCAGGTTAGGCTTGAAGTGATGGGAAAGAAGGCAAAGAATGCAACCAACATTTCCGGAAATGAGGCTGGGAAAATTTCCAAAGAGATTTAGAAAGTGGAGAAGAGAAGGATAGTTAAGAGTGCTCTTTGCAACGAAAGAAGTTCTCGGAGCCATTGCATGGTAGGATTCCCTTGGACTTTCAAATATATGATAATTCTTCCCCAGGTCTTGTCACTAGTTGGACATAACTTGCTTTCTATTTCTGCACAGATAATCCTTGATGTCCCAACAGCAGGAGCGCACTTGATGCTTGT